TTCCATTGATCTATGTGTCTGTCATTGTACCAGTACCATGCTGTCTTGACTACCACGGCAGTGTAGTAGGATTTTAAGTCAGGGAGTGAGATGCCTCCTAATGTTTTTCTATTTTTACGGAGTGCTTTGCTTATTCGTGGCTTCTTTCCATTCCAAATGAAGCTAGAGATTGCCTTTTCCCATCTCGTTGAAGAATGGAATTTGTATTTGTATTGGGATTGCATTGAACGTGTATATTGCCTTTGGTAGTATTGCCATTTTCACAACATTGAGTTTTCCTATCCATGAGCAAGGGATATTCTTCCACTTCTCCAGGTCTCTTTTTGTTTCTTGTAATAATGTTGTGTAGTTTTCTTTGAGTAGATCTTTTGTGCTTCTAGTTATGTTGACTCCCAAATATTTAATCTTATGATTAAATTATTCTTAACATTATTCTTAAGTTTTCTTATGTTTCCGTCTTCTTTGCTTCTGCTTTTTTCTTATATCTGTGGTGGCAATTCTATCTTCTGCTTCACTAATTCTGTTTCCATCTCTTCACCTCTATTTGTATGTCCCTCCATCATGTTGACAGCATCAGAAACCTCCGATTTCATATTTTGAATTATGATTTCTTGTTTTCCCAGTGCCTCAAATGCCTCATTTGTTTTCTCTGCATTGTTTTGGATTGTTTTTTTAAGTTCCTCCTGATTTTTGACTGTAGTGTCCTGTAATTCTTCAAGTTTGTTTTTCATCCATTGAAAACATTCAATCATCTTTTTTCTAAATTCTGCATCAGAGAGTTCCATCAGACTTTCTGGTTTCATGAAATTCATTGCTACTGTGTCATTTTGGGGGGTAGATATCATGTTTTGGGCTTGCGTGGTGAGTGAGGTACCCTGTTTCTTTTGAGACATTGACGTGGAAGAGTTTTTGAAAACTAAGGTGTTAGTTGGTTCTTGGTTTGATGTCACTACTTCTCTATCAAGATGTCCAGTACCTCCCTTTTGCTTAGGTTGATGGGACCAATGTGGTAGGGCCAAACAGCAGTTTGTAGTCTAAAGAAACTAAATCTTCAATATTGGACAACTTTTTCAAGTGATGTTGAAAAATGCTATAAATTTGGTCTATGTGTTTTTGTTCCTTTGTGTGTTTTTTTTTGTTTTGTTTTTGTTTCTGTTGTTTTGTTGTTTCCCCCCCCCCCTTTTCTTTAAGTCCCAGTTCAAGTCCACTCCCACTGTCCACTGCGTCTGCGCATGGCACCTTGGCCAGTCCCAAAGTTCAGAGCTGGTGGGGGTTGCGAGCTGTGGCAGGGGGAGCAATGTGATACCTGAAGATGGGGGTCGTGGGTCAGAGCTACAGGGGTGTGCCCCAGTTCAAGTCCACTCCCCTGTCCACTGCATCTGCGTGCGGCACCTTGGCCAGTCCCAACATTCAGAGCTGGTGGGGGGGGCGCGAGCTGGGGAGGGGGAGCAGTGCGATACCTGAAGATGGGGGTCATGGGTCAGAGCTGCAGGGGTGTGTCCCAGGTCAAGTCCACTTCCGCGTCTGTGCACGGCACCTTGGCCAGTCCCAAAGTTCAGAGCTGGCGAGGGTCGAGGGTCGCGAACTGGGGCAGGGGGAGCAATGCGATACCTGAAGATGGGGGTCGTGGGTCAGAGCTGCAGGGATGTGTCCCAGTTCAGGTCCACTCCCACTGTCCACTGCGTCTGCCGGGCACTTTGGCCAGTCCCAACGTTCAGAGCTGGCAGTGGGGAGGGTGGGTGTCGCGAGCTGGGGCCGGGGGGAGCGATGTGATACCTGAAGATGGAGGTCTTGCGTCAGAGCTGCAGGGGTGTGTCCCAGTTCAAGTCCACTCCCACCGTCCACTGAGTCTGCCTGCGGCACCTTGGCCAGTCCCAATGTTCAAAGCTGGGGGTCGGTGTCATGAGCTGGGGCTGGGGGAGCGATGCGATACCTGAAGATGGGGTCATGGGTCAGAGCTGCAGGGTTGTGTCCCAGTTCAAGTCCACTCCCACCGTCCACTGCGTCTGCCTGCGGCACCTTGGCCAGTCCCAACGTTCAGAGCTGGCTGGGCCTGTCGCGAGCTGGGGCAGGGGGAGCGATGCGATGCCTGAAGATCGAGAACTACTTTTTAAAGTCCTCTTTCTGTAAGGTCACCGAGGAAGGACAGAACCCAGTGCAGGCAAAGAAAGATAGTTTATTGAGGAGTAACTGCCAGGCTGGTTCTCAAGCAGAAGACCAGCCCCTCACAAAGTTAGAGGGGGATTTTATACTTTGTTACATGGGACCGGGGGAAAGTGATGCATACAGATGCTTCCTTCAAAATGGGGAAGTGGGCTGGGTTCTCAGACAACGATTCATGGGAAAATGGTTGGGTAGTTTGACAGAAAAAGCACGACTGCTGTTTCTTGTTACTAGATTCTCTCAGAAGCCATTCTGGGAGAGGAAGGAGAGGGCTCTGCAGTCCTAATACTTTCTAAATGTCTCACTCCTGATCCAAGGTGCTGAAAGTATAAGAAGCAACAAAGCCCATGTCTCTGCCTGGGAGGAGCCTTTTGAATAGAAACAAGTCATCAAACAAAAAATTATTACAGATAACATGGTTAAGGAAATTACATTATTTGAAAGAAACTAATCTGTTTTGTATCAGTTTAATCCATTTCTCGACTTCAGGTGAAGTTTGATTCACTATTCCTTTGTTTGTCCTCTTCCCAGAACATACCCCAGCAGGGCATGTGGGAGTAGTGGCCACTGATGTTGGTACTGTTAGAACATAAGGCTCACTGTGGCTTCCTTGTTGTTATTTGTTATCACTGAGTTAGAACGAGCACATAGCTAATCCTTCAGTGGATTTTCAGAGGCAGTAAATCACATGAAGGAGATTGCCCTTCTTTTGTCCCCTGCAGAACAGCTGATGGGTTTGAACCATGTGTCTCTGAGTTGGCAGTACAACCTTAACATTAAGCTATCAGAGCTGTCTGTTGTCCCTTGTTGTTATGTACAGTGGAGTTGGACCTAACTTAAAGCTGACCCTTCAGCTGGTTTTCAGAGGCAGCAAATCACAAAGGAAGAGATAGCCCATCTTTCTTCTGTGGAAAAGCTGGTGGATTTGAACCATGTGCATTTGGGTTGTCGATGCAGCTTCTTACCAGTAGGCCACCAGAGCTCTCTTACAGCCTTCTTGTCTGCTGGGAAAAGAGTGTCACAGTGTGGAAGATTTTGTACATTTTTGCTAGAACAAGATGAAATATGCAGCTGGTACCCAGGACCTTTTATGAAAGGAACTGACTGATTCAAGTGAGGGTGAGCCATTTCCCAAAGAAAACTGGGCAATACCAGGAAGGGGGTATTCTATTATGGCACTGATGAGCAGATTTCTACTGTCTGTCATCCCCTTTCGGGCCATCCCTGCAAAACGATGGCTTTTACATGGTGTATGCCACTGTTAGTACCTGTGCCCGGGCCATGGCTGAAACCTTCTTTGTTTTCCCCCTGCTTTTGGCAGTTCTGTGGCATGACTGCCAGAACTGGTCACCACTGATTGTCTCACTGAACCACTGCTTCCCTGTGCAAGCATGGTTTCCTTCTCTATTCCTACCAAATTGGAAAAGAAAAATGACAAAATTTGTCACTACTAGAAGCCAGTCATCAGATGAGGAAGGGTGCAGCTGATATCTGACTGCTTTTCTCTCTATATGGGCCGCAGTAACTGATTCGTTTGCTGTTTTTACAGGTATTCAGGTTCGGCACGATCAAGACCTGGGCTACATGCACCACAAATTTGCAATTGTGGATAAAAAGGTGCTGATCACAGGCTCACTCAACTGGACCACACAAGCCATCCAGAACAATAGAGAAAATGTTCTGATTATGGAAGATGAAGAGTATGTGAAAGTTTTCCTGGAAGAGTTTGAGCGTATTTGGGAAGAGTTTAACCCTACAAAGTATACTTTTTTCCCACAAGAAAAGAAAATTCACTGAAGCAGAGCTCAAGATGCCACTTTCAGAGTGAGCTGAAGCATTTTATTTTGATGCTGGATGTTCCTGGTACTTAAAAGAAGGACCGAGTTTGCTGCCCTCCTCAAGTGTCGAGATAGCTCCAGCTTGGGCTCTGGCCCTGGGAGTGAGGCAAAATTCACATCAGGAAAGGCATTTACACGAAATCATCCTTTAAGTCCTAAACTAAATTTAATTGTTTGGGATTTGAAAGAAATGGTAGATGGTTTTAGTGCTTTATGAGTGAAACAAGAAAAAAATGTTATTGTGCTGAGGTGTTTAGCCATTGGAATGTTGCCTTTTTACTTTATTCTCTGTTTTTCCCCACTCTGAATAAATGTTGACAACTTTCCTCAAATGCCCTCTCAGGACTCTTATCTGGTGTCTTGGATTGAGATTGGAGGGCGTCACGTGAGGGTTCAAAATGTAGGACTCAGTTTTCTTTTTAAAAAGCAAACAAGGAGAGCTATGGTGGCCTAGTGGCAAGAAGCTACACTGCAATCCCAGAGGCGTATGGTTCGAATCCACCAGATGCTCTGCCGGGAAAGGAGGGACAATCTCCTCCTGTACCAGTCAGATCTGATTTGATAGTACACACACACACACAAAAAAAAAACTCCCATTTTCTGATTCTAGAACATCTGCTTTGGCTGAGTTTTCATCTTATTCAGTCCTTTTAATATCCCCCTGAAAGATTTTCCTCTTCTCTCACCAGCTTCCCTATCTAGCAGAAACTTAAGAGGTTAACAGTCTCTTCATTTTGGGTGTCACCAAATCCTTGGTGGTTTATTGGCAGTTTTGAATAGCAAGAGGAAGAAAAGGGAAGAAGCAGCAGTACATGTGAGCATGACTTTAGGTGTATGGAGTTGTGTGCGGTGTGGCAGGGGTGTTCATCCCTCTAGAACACTGCAGACATTTCTGTTTTAACCAATAGTTCTGCTGTAACAGGTAGGTCACACTCTTAGGACAAGGTTTCCTTGCTTAAAGGTATCTCTAAAGCAAATGTACATGAAAATGTTCATACTTGGAAATACATCTTCTGTTTCCATGAGCTAAATAAGGACTGGAGGCAGCCTGAACCTCCTTTCTATTTCCACATTCTCTCATCCAAAGAAATTTTGTTGTGTATATGGAAAAGACCTAGCCTGTGGACTAGCTAATTTGCAGTTTTGATTCAGTATAGTTAATCATGCAATATAGACCATTTTGGAGGAATGAGTTTGAGGAGAGGGAAAGTTTTAGGTTTGCAGTGCTTATATATCTGTTGTATTCCCAATTTGAGGTTGGCCTCTTGAGTGTGGTAGAATTTTGGTTAATAGAGCAGTGTGCTGTTAAGTATCTAGCATAGCCCACCTATGATTTTCACAAAGGTTTTTGGTAATTTTTGCAGTTATAGGTAATTAACATTGTGGAAATGTCCTCGGTATATAATATCTATTTGAATTATTTTAACATTTTAGTTTATTTTTTAATTTTATATTGGTTTGTATACAATATTCATATACAGTGTATTACACATGTTTCTTCATTCACTTTATGTTTCATTCAATCATTTCACCATTGATCTATGTCCTCTGTTACCTTGTATTTTAGGTCCCTACTGGATTCCTGTTTTCTTCACTCCCTCCCTCCATCCACCACACTCTGCATCCCCATGATTTCCACCCTCCACATCTTCTGCCCTGTCTCTTTTCCCCTTTGGACTTTTTGTAGACATATTGCTAGTAATCTATTTTTATAATAATAGGTTGAGAGATTGTACATTCACATGAGGGATCACTATGCAGCACTCATGAGTTATTTTGAAAAATACTGTAACATGGGAGAGACTGGAGAGCATTATGTTGAGAGAACTCAGTCTCAACAGAACAAACATTGCATAAGACCATTAACAACTTGTTTTGTTTCTGTGTGCTCCGTGACCCCTCCTGAAGTCTGCATTCCTCTACCTCATACCAGCATTACCACCTATATGATGTGTTTCTCTTCCCCCTCTATCATTTACAGATGTAGAAAAGTAAACTTTAAGCTAATTTTTGCTTAATTGAGGCTGTAGAATACACAGATTGGCAATCACTAAATTATTTTATGTGAAATGTTTTCCTTCATCTGAGTATTTGTTCTCCACCAGTTTATATTCTGGTCAGTTAACTCATAGACTTGAGTTCATTATTTCCTGAAAAATGAAACTGTTAACTAGGACTCCTGACATCTGAATGTGTGTTTATTCTGTAATGTTTATACTATATGCCTTTACCTTAGCTCATCACTAGGTCATTCAAATAGTGGCTACCCTTTATTAAATAAACTCTTTTGGGGTCAGGAGAAATAGGTAGCTATTTAGAAATTGTAGATCCCCCAAGGTTTTACTTGAGTACTTTAGATGAAACCATTTTTAACGTATGTGTAGGCACTATTTCTGTTCTTAACAAAATAAAACCATGATTTTCAGCTTGTCTGGGCACAGTACTGTGCAACTCCAGTGAATCCCAGTTGGATAGCTTAGAGACCTGTGCCAACATCATCTGGATGTTCACAGGTTAATAGTACCTGTTGCACCCTCATACTTACCTGGACAACAAAGTACAGAGGGTCAGGTCCTTCCTAGTTGTGGTTAACACAACACTGAGAACTTGAGTGTGTCACATTGATGAGACCCACCCCCAGACAACCCCTATGGCCACTATTGTTGTTCTGTGCCATGAAGTTGGAACCAAGTTGTAGTTGACCCTCTAGTGAGTTTTCAGAGAGGGTAAATTGCAAGGCAGGAGGGTCCTCATTTTTTCCTTGCAGAGCATCTGGTGGAGTCAAACCACTTGTCTTAAGGTTAGCAGTACAGCTCTTTACCCACTAGGTTGCCAGAGCTTCCTCAACACCCTCTAGCCACTTTCAAATGACACAGTGAACATTTAACTTGCGAAATTGTTCACCCCACCTTCAGACCCCAATAAAAGGCCCATATCTGTCATCTTTCACTCCCTCTCTGCCTAGAGTCTTATATGTAGACCTCAGGCATTCCAGGTTACCCCAGAGACCTATAAAAAATATAAAACTTTATTTGTGGTTTATTATTCTCATTTCAGAATACTGGCAATGGACAATTTCTACCTGATTTCTGGGTTGCTTACCCATGTGGATGATTGTAGTACATGAGTGAGTTTATAGTCAGGAAGTTTAACTCACCTGTAATCATATTTTCTGTTGGCATCTACATTAAGTAGCATACCTTGCACAAAGGTGTATTCTTCAAGTACGAATCTTGTTAAAATTCATAATACAATACCTAAATATTTGATGGCTCATATATAGTTGCCTAGAGTCCTCATATTTTATACTTCTAAATAAATGATCTTCCTCTAGGGTAGAGATTGAATTAGGTTCTGTAACTGAGAAGAGGGAAGAGGAGAAGAAGCTAATGGCCCACATCACTCAGAAGTAGAGGAATGTGCTGGTGTAAAAAGAACACGGTCAATGTGGGAATGGCCATATCTGGCCTCTACTAACTCCACAAACTGGAATGTCCCCATCAACATCCGTGGTACAAAACTAATTCCTGTAAGGTAAAACATGCCACCCATACTCCTGCTCCTAATTCTAGTACCAAATCTTACTGCTCTACTGGGTCTGAAATCCATTGCCATGACTACATAGACTTGGTTATGGGGTTTACTAGAAAAGCTAACAGGCTATAGGTTTATTACAGGTTTATTAGACTACATACTCATGGTTTGGGGTTTATTAGAGAAGTTAACAGGCTATATAGTTGGGATTGACAGGATACAATCCTTCAAAGAGCTGCTCAAGCATGATCACAGGCCCTTTGACCTTCAGCTTCACGGTTTAGGTCAGTGTTAGAAAGTTCCTATAGTCTGCCAGTTAATGGAGTCATCCCTCCATCAAGCAGGCTTGGGTAGAGGGCTCTGGTACTGGTTCTGTAGGGCATCAGTCCTAAGTCAGCTCTGCCTCAGATTGGTCTCTGGTTCTCTGCTGAAGCTGCTCTTGCTCTTGTATAGATCTCGATCTGGCTGGCACAGAAATCTCTGGCTGGCCCTGAAGGATGTGCCATTGCTTCATCTATGTTCGTTGAGATTCCAAATTTCTGCTGTTGAATCTACACAATTTAAAACCAGTGGGACGGCAGAACTCACAAATCCCCTTGTGGATAGACTTGTTATTTGTGTACCATTTTGTTAGAACCAAACCATAGCTGACAGAGGCAGTGAATAGAAAGGGAAAAGATTGCTCATCCTTCTCCCACAGGGCAGCTGCTGACTGCTGATAGTAAGCAGCTGGTGGCTTTGAACTGCATGCCTTCGAGATTGCAGCACAACTTGTTGCAACCAGAGCTAACAAGATCCTGTTCTCATAAATATGAGTTCTGGTGACCTAATGGCAAGAAGCTGCACTGCAATCCCAAAGGCACAAGATTCAAGGCCACCAGCTCCTCCAACCACCTATATCTATTTTGTTGGGTGTTTTTAGGTCAAGCATGACTCACAGTGACCATATGAAGAGCCCACCTGAACCCTGCACTATCCTGTGCCATCCTCCTCTGTCACACTAAAACTCATTGCTGAGGTCACCATGTCATTCCATCTCATTGAAGGTCTTCCTCTCTGCTGATTAACCATCTTTCCAAGCATGATGTCCCTTTCCAAAGAACAGTGTCATCTAACTACATGTCCCTGTAGTTTGAGGACTAAAGTGTGTCTGATTCAGGCCCATAATATTTCTGGTTACTTGCCATGCATTTGAGAGCTAGACAGTGGAAGGATGACAAAATAATTGATTCCTTTGAGCTATGATAGAGAAGATGGCTGAATATCCCATAGACTGCCAAAAGATAAATAGGTCTTGGAGAGGGTGCAGCCAGAGTGCTGCTCCTTGGAGGCAAAAATGATAGGTGTAGGGTTGGTGAAAAGCGAGGAAGACCCTCAAACAGATGACTACTGCAATGGACTATATTGTTGTTGCGACTCATAGCG